AAAAAAAAAATCTAACTTAGAATATCTATATCAAACATATATGTTACACAGCAATTGTTCATTTTCAGCCAAGGTAATCTGCATATAATGAAACAGGATATCACTTACAAATGAAATTATTCTGTCACTACACTATTGTACAAAAAAATTTCATGGTTGAAAAGTGTTACTAATAACAGAAGAAGTTTTCTAACTTGATAAAGGTGATAAAGCAGAAAATGGTGATCAAATTTAAGAGAAAAGCTGAAAATTAAATTTTTGCACATTTTCTACACTCAGTGATGAGCACAGCAGTCATGTTAAAATGTTTATTTTTAATAAACTCCAATTTCTGGGTAAAAAATTTGGGTACTTATCTATGGTATACTCCAAGTGTAGAAAATTGCTTTAATATATGTGGTACAATAAAATAATATTCAACTTTAAATAAGACATCATCTTCATGCATTCATCACATACCACACACATAAAACAGATTATAAATTACCAATTGCACATATTTTCCTTTTAAACTAAAGACAAATCACAGAGCCAGTTTTGAGAATATGAAAATGAATATATGTATATTCATGCATGACTGAAGCATTGTGCACTATACTAGAAATTGATAACACTGTAAACTGACTATACATCAGTAAAAAATAAAAAAAATAAAAAAAAGCCAGTTTTGGAAATAGAGAATTTAGGGATCTAAGAATTAGTGTGTGTGTGTATATATATATATATGCATATATATTTGGAACATTTTATCCTCTGACCTAAAGTCAGAACTTTATACAAATCTTCAGTTTGTTTAATAATGAGAAATGATTATGTGCCAGGTTATCACTCCGCTGACCTGCTACAAATGCAGTGCAGTACTGCAGAGTGTGATGATTTATTCACTGTCAACAGTTTTTCAGTAGAAACAAGGGCTGCTTTTTAAACTGCTTTCAATAAGGGCACTTTACCAAAATATACACTTCTGTATTCATTATTTTTAATCGGTAGGTGTTTGACCTAGTCAAGTATTTTTTCATATTTCTCTTAAAACTTGCTTGACAGTGTCATCAGTGACCAGCCAGTGCTTGTAATGGTGTTTAGAACTGCTTAACTGTGTAATAATTTACAGTGCTTTTCTCATGTTTTCGCTGACCAGGATTGGGCTGGAGAGGAGGGGGGAACTTAGGTGATCTGCACATCCTCCTCATTTTGCTCCCAACACCTCAGAGACAGTGGTTGGGTGTTTGTGCATCTTGCTGTTCATAACTCACCATGACCAGCGTATCTGCAGTTATGTTTAGCCCCTTGTGGTTTCTTTGTGTTCTGTTGTCCCTGTCTGTGCAAACACTGCAGCAATATGTCTCAGGCCTCAGTCAGCCTAAAATGCCAGAAGCATATATCAGCCTGACTTTAAACTGCACAAGTTTTTCTCTAGGGCACTTTCCACAGACCATTTTCCTAAGCAGCTTTGCTCTAGGCACAGAAGTATTAGAAGCTGGAGATGAACATCGTACCCAGGAGAAGAAAGGGGACTGCGGCATCTACAAAAACAAGGACAACTTTGCAACAAGTTGTTACCCTGCATGTGATTTCTGTGGAAACCAGTGCCGCCCCCTGAACTCCTACTACAAAACTGCAGGCCGGCAGTCCTGAAGATACTAGACTGCTGTGAGCTCCCCTGCCTGACAAAGAAATAAAGCTGCCTTTTCTGCTTCACCCAAAACTCTGTCCTCGAGTGTCAATTTGGTAAGTGGGGTACAGAGGTAGTTTCAGCAAAAACACTACTATAAATCAGGTTAGATTTTAAAGTCTTAGAGCGCCATCACACTGTGCTGCTTTGGATGATATAAAAGCATATAAACTCTCAATCTGACTTGGTGGGTACCATGAGTTTCTATTGAAATAAATGGTGCACTGTACCTTCAAAAATAAAAAAGCAATGCTAACTGCAACTCCATCTCTTTTCTAACTCAAGAGAGCGTATCAGGGAAAGTAAACAACAAAGACCTTATCAGAAGTAAAAAATTAAAAAAAGTTAGAGCAGACCTTTGGTTAACATGATTTACAATCATCAGTATTTTAACTATCATTGGTAACAAATTATTCAAGGCACTCCCTTAGAACTCATCCATC